GTGATGTCGAAACAACGTTTTGCTTGCTCCTGACGCATCAGTCACGCCGTACTTTAAAGTTGAATCTGCTAGAGAATTTTTTAATTTCAATTCTTCGATCTTTACGCTTGATTAATTTTATATTGCAATCGAATCAACGAATTATTATCGATGGTACGCTCCTTTAGAAACGGTTCCATGCGCAGGATGTCCCAGTAATCACGGCGGAATGAATCACGACTTTGACACCGGCATAAGTAGAAACAGTGATTAGTGGTCAGACGCGCCGAACAAATATTTAATCGCGCGCGTATTCGACTGTTCGTATTCAATTGTCTCGGAAACCAAGCATCGTCTTCGACTTATTTTTTCATGCAGAATCACCCCACCCACACCGGTTGCACGATCACCTATACAACTTGCTCGAGGGAATAAAATAACTCTTGAGACGCTGAGAATAAACGAGCGCAGTCCAATGCCATTGTTGGCATCGACAACTGCATTCAGCGATTTGTTCTTACGAGAGCGGAATAATCTGCACAGTGATTAGAATAATTAAACAATGATTAGAGGAAAAATAAATTAACAGAATTCGATGAAGGTCAGATAAGTGCGAAGAAGGTACCTTGGTTATAATAATCGACAAATTGCGAGAGAACTCATCCGTTCTTTATGCGTCATTCACGATTACGTGAATGATCCAAACGATAGCGGATCGAATCGCACAAAATTTAGCAAATACAAGGATAATTTCTCAACTCTAGAATCGCTGTTAGTATTTACACGATCTTTGACGCCGAGATACCGGTGGATCGTAATTAATACAATAGCAATTAATTGCACAGTCGTGCGCAGCTCGGCATTGCCATCGAACCGCCTCGAATGTCGGCTTTAATCAGCGGCACGTAGCACGCGAAGATAAATGGACCGACAGAGAGCGAAAATTTCATGCTCACCTGCAGCAAACCTCGCGTAGAGTCATCAAATATCTGTGCACGAGGAAGGTCGAACGTGCCTGACCAGGTAAGAAGGAAGGTCGCGGCGCCGGTGAATGGGGGGCCCGATGAATGAAGATGGTTCGCATGTTCAAGGGTCCTCTTCCGGTATCCCGTCAAGGACGCGTTTCAAACGCCACCGACGAGACCCACGGTTCACAACCGTCGATTCTCGTCCCAGCATCTCCATCGTTCCGTAAACCAACTTTTCCCCCGGTTTTTTGCGGAAAATACGAGGTTAACGGACACACGATTCTACCTAGCTAGGAATAATTTTCTCCATCGAACCGCTCGACTCAAAACAGTTAACTCTAACTTCGCCTACGAAGCCTTGCAATAAAAAAAAAATTCATGCTCGAATTGCTAACCGGTTGACTCTGGATCGGCCCAATTTATTCCCGGGAAATAATGGAGAACCGTCGCCGCCAACGACGAGAACGCGAACCGTACACACCCGTGTACACAGCGGCGAGCAGCATCCCCCGATCTCGCGATATTAAAAAGTATCGGACGAGGACTCGCGGTGGGTACCTGGAGCGAGTAAACTCGCGGTAAATAAAAGACGAGCAATCGTGAGGAGTGCTGCTAGGTCTGGGTGTTGCAACCGAGGTCTGCACGGTCGGGCCACTGGGCGTGACAATATGCTCCTGCACAGGTGCAACCGAAGGTATAGGTCCGCGGAGGCGCCTCGGGGTAGAGGAGAGAGCGTAGTCCTCGCCGCCCACGCGATCGGCCGGCTCGCTCGTGGAGAAAGACAGGGAGTCGGGGGAGGATGCAAGGAAGGCAGGCAGGAAGGAAGGCGAACGAAGGAGAACGTAGCACCGGAGAAAGGAGCGCGCGTGCAGCCCGTTTGAAAGAAGAGGTTAGGCGTGTAGAGACCCCCCCTGCTGCCCTCCCCCTCCTCCACTTCATTCTTCATCCTCCTCCCCCCCTCGAACCCCTGAAGAAGTGTGTGCGTTCGAAGCGGATTTGTACGTGGCCGGCACACCTGTGCCGATGCAGCATGGGCACGGAGTCGCATAACAGGTGGAAAGGTGAAAGAGGGAAAGAGAACAAGGGGGAGAGACTGGGGTGAGAGCGAGAGGGGGACCGGAGGAGAGGGAGATCCCCACTCGACCCCGAGACCGCCGACTCGAACATTACTATACGCCCTCCGGGACCCGAGAGGAGGAGAACGCTGAGACTACCGCCTTCCTCCTACGTTCGCCTCCTCACTCTCTCTCTCTCTCGGTCGCTCAGTTTGCTCCTTTTCGCGCTAACAGCCGTGCCTCTCCTTTTCCTTCACGGTCGCACTTCCGTTTTAACGTCGGGCCAGACTCTCGAGCCGCCTGCCGCGCAAACGCCGCCGACAAACGCGTTTTCACTCGGTGCCGATGAAATGGCCGACGAGAAAACGTTCTCCACCCTTCAACGCACCGACGCCGCGACGCACGCTCGCGACCAGATCTCTGGAGACGGTTCCGCGACGCTCTCGAAACCCTCCGCGAGTCTGCTCGCTTCCGGGAACTTTTTTCAACGGCGTTCTTCAAGCCCTCGCGCGCGCATCGCGGAGGCAGAGATTAGGCTAAGGGAATAAGCACCGTACTGGGTCAGACGTTTCAGCCAGCGGGAGCGAGAATAGGCTCGGGTTACTACGGAAAATAATATACCACGGTTGCGTCACACCTTTGACATTTACAGTAATCCTCATTTTAATCGCTCGAGAGGAACCGTATAAATACTCGATGAATTATGATCTTTATCCTTTAATACCTCGTAAAATATCGAGCGTCGGAGCAAACGACCAAATAGTTTTTCCATCAATTTTACGTAGCAAACGGAACATGTTTAATACACATTCGTCCGGTGACATTTTCATTTAATCGTCGTATGCAAATACGCTACGGGTTTACTCCATTACGCAAGTGTAGATGAACAGATACAAAAATTAAAAAATGAATAAATAAGACGTGGAAACGCGCAGGAAAAATAGAAATATGTATTCCTCTTGGCTGTACGAGCAAACTCGACCAGTAAACAAATTTTCAACGTTTCGGCCAATGTTATGCTGCGGGATATTTATCACACAACAGATAAAAGATACTAACTGCATAATTACGTAGAAAAAAAAACTGTTCGTATCCATAGTTCCAATAGCAATGTTAACGAGTTACGACCACATTTTCCTGTACATTGTTATTTATATATTCCTAATTATGTGATTAGCAAGTTTCTATCTTTCCGTTAATTTCAATTTGATCCATTTGTACTTATCGTTTCGCGCATTAATGTATACGCTTCTTTAGTTATAATTTCATTTTTCTGAAGAAGGCCGTCTCCGCTGACCGGAACCTCGGGGGGGAATTTTATTATCAATAATGTTTGCTCAGACCACCAAAGAAATTACACGTTTCCACTACTTTTTATCACAGCATTTATCTGCTCGCGATACTGTACAAACGTACTGGCAAATTAGTTCTAACTTATTAATTATTCCTATAATCGCATCGTATCCGTCTCTAAATAACTCTCAGGGCATTAATTTCTCCATTCCGTCCGGGGAAAACGGATGTTACGGTTAATAAGAAATAATCCGTTCCCCAACGAACAAAGCAAAGTATCAGATCGTGTTCGAACGATCGTCTAATAATTACTGCTGATTACGATTTCGTTTGGAGGACGAGGCAATTGAAAATCCACCGTGCAGGACATCGCCGCCATCTGTCGCTAATTCGAGGTCCGAGGCTGCGCCACCGATCGGTCCGGAGGTTTCGGGAGCGCGGTCGATCCACCTGAACGAGCCTGTTTGCTTAAACGCGTTCGTAGAATCCCGCCTCGGGGCGAATTTAGCGGGATATCAGGTAAGGGAACGCATCGTCGTCCGCAGCACGTAAATGACCGGCATAATAACGGTAATACGCCGGGCATTATCTGCACGCGCCCGCATTTTTGCGGGCAGACAGGTTTCTCCGGGGTCTTCGGCGATTCCTTCCAGCCACGGGGCCGTTTCGCTTCCACGCGATGACCCGCGGTTTTCGAGGTCGCGCGAACCATCCAGTCATCGCGATACCCGCCGATAGCATTGCCGCGGGGACGTCGATTCGAATCGGCGTCGCATTGTCCGCGCGATATCTCCTCGACCGACCGAACGATCCTCTAAAGCCGCATTCCCACGCGATTAACGCAAGATTTACGGACGTTCGACAATTTTTTGTCTCGCTCGTATCGACGGGCTTCTAATTTCCAACAGTGTTTTCTAACAACGACACGCTGAACTCCGTCCTTATTCCCGCTAATCGATTAATTACGCGCCCGTGTCTCTGATTCGCGAGGGACATTATGCTTACTTCGGAGCCCCGATCCTTATCGTTCGTTTCTGTTATTGTTACACAAGCAGATATCGTGTCTCCTTCGCTGCGATGAAATTAACGACCGCGTTTAGCGAAACAGTACACGGGTCTAATTAGGAACTAATTGTGTACACGATAGCATTTAATTGCTACGATGTTTGTTTAACCTCGGTCACTGGTATTCCTCATCCAATAACTTGGATTCGCCGTTCGCTCTTGATACGAACAACGAGAAAAGGACTGTCGTGTATTAGTAGCTCCGCGAGGCTAAAATAAACGTCATAATCTAACGAGAACGAGTTGGATCGCGGGTCTGTCTTAACGGCAGACAAATTAATCGGCTATTGATAGCTCCTTTCCGATCCCGAGTGAATTCGAATCCGTACATAAATTTAGAACATCTCTGCCGATCAATAAATCTCGCGTACGCGCGACTGTGCATTTTGTATCGGCGATATTAGGTTTGCCAACCGGCGGTGTCTCAGACAATCAATTTCCCTGCTGGCCTCGATTGGCCAAAAATAGTTCCGCCCAGGTAGCCTGCATCGGACGTGTTCACCTCGTCGAGATCCATGACCCGCGCAAAACGCTCCCTCGAGTCACGCAATCGACCAAACGATCGTACTTCCGCCTTCTCCCAACTCCCGCAACAACGTTAGAGAATTTAAAATGTAAATACGGGGGCGAGGAGTCCTACCTTCGACTGATCCTGCTGTTGCAGCAATTGTTCCCTGAGCAGCTGCAGCTGCAGTATCATCTCGGAGAGCCTTCGTTCCTTTTCCGCGAAGCTTTCCGCGCAGAGGACCCTGTGGAGGGCCGAGGCTCCGTCCTGCTGGACCTGTCCTTCGGTGTTCTGCATTCTTCCGGAGGCCGGGGGTGAAGGCGGCACGCTGTTCGGCACGCTCGCGACGCCTCCGCTGTAACGTAGAGCATCGGTACCACGGTCAATTAGGCTGGTTGGCCGTGGACGGGGGGAGGCAGAGGGTGGTCGGTCGGAGGATCGTGCGTTGTCATTTGTACGGATAAGAGCGGAGAGTGGGTCGTGGGTAGATCGGCCGGCCGCGTGCGTCGATGGGGGCCATTCGCGTGCGAGCAAGAGCTTCCGGCGCTATGGAATGGAATAGCAGTGGTCCGCGGCGTACAGAGGGCTGGGAGCCAGGTGAATAATAGATAGGGTCGCGGCCGTGCAATCACGGCAGCCCGAGTGTTTGCTCCCGTGATGGGGTCTTCTCGCTCCGACAACCTTACCCTCTCGCTCCGTCCCACGTGTTTTTCCCACCCCTGTGGATTTTTTTCTACCCCAAAGTGCCCTCCTGGTTTCCCAGCCCGGAGCTCTCCGTTCCTCTTTTATGTCGAGGAAAATGGACCACGAATAAGTGATACGGGGACGCATTGTGCCAGCGTGGCCAGCCACCGCGATGCCCCGCGCCCGACGACCGCACGGGATAACCCCGAAGGACGAGACTAAGGACGAAACCGACCTGGGCGCGGGCTTCAAAGAGCCTTCGTTACGAATCTGGGGCAATATATGGCGTTTCTTATGGCGTCACAGGGTCACCGTTAAAGGGACCGTCGAATTTTAACCCTTCAAGCGCGACCTGCGTCTTCCGATTCACGAATCTTCGCCACTCCTTGACGCTTGACCGTCTATTCTCACGTTTACCAATCAAATTTTACCGCCCAAAGATCGCGTAGGAGATCTAACAATTTATTCTAATATTTTTCCTGTGGTTAACTTCTTTAAAAATTGCAAGGGGTTGGAATTTTTGCAGAGTCGAGGTACGCGATTCTTCCCAGGTAAAATTTCCCAGGTTATTTTCCAGTGCCGAGTGTGTAGAAGTCAGAATGCAGCGACTACGAATGCATATACTTGTGGACTTCTTAAGGGGCGGGTCAGTGTGTCATGGAAGCCATAGTTTTTGGAAGACAGTAAGGGGTTTGTGGAGCTTTAAAAAGAAGCTTTAAAAAGAAAATGCACGTTAAAAGACTTCCTTGAGTAGACATACACGAGTGCACTTTCCGTGCATCAGGGGTACCTTCAAAACAGACTTTCCTAGAAAACGAACCTCCGTGTAACAGAATTTGTTGATCTCTCGAAAACGAATGTATTCTTAAAAACGACGGAATTAATGGAGTTTGGAATATCAGCGTGCCAGCGACCCTTGCGCCAGCGGGATGCTCAGCTATTTCTCAGTTACGACGGTCATTCGAGAATAATAATTCTGCGTGGAACAACGTGGCTTGCGAGTTGCAAATGAGCCGAGCTCGAGAGAAAAGGGGGAAAAAGTGGGCAGCCGGGAGAGAGCCCCGGCTAGAAATGAATTCCGCATTGTGCGCGAGAATTTAATTAGACGTTACAGTGTGCACGTTTCTTGTGGCTCACCGTCGGTGGAACAAAAATCGTGCATCATGAAACCGTTACTTATCGAGGAACGTCTTTTATCCTTACACGCTCATGAAAGACCCTTGCTGTGCGTGGCTTTCTTTCAGCCGATAATAACGCTCGGTGGGCGGCTACAAGATTCTATTCGCGCCTGTTGACCTCAGTATCAGGCAACAAAAGGCTCATTCTGTTACTATTATCATCTCCCGGCAAAGACATTCGGAGGATTTAGCTTTCTGACCGAGCCAAGAATAAACTGTTGCCGCTTGCATGCTTCTTTTATCACTCCAATTTTACAACTAACTCTATTTTCGGCCACTACGCGGTTTAAGGTGAGACAGGACACGCTCGATGAATAATAAAAACGTTCGTTTCGTCGGTGGATCGTTCCCCAACCTTGACCCGTCAACCGTTTAATTCGAAATCACTTGAAAAATAACAAATTTAGCAAACCACGAGATAACTCGTCCGTCGAGCACGAAATCTATTGAACCATCGAGTTTGACCAAACGATGCAGCTTGTCTCGTCGAAGATAAAGGCATCTTCGCTCGACGAATTAACTCGTCTTCGTCAATTAGCGTGTCGATAGCGATCGCGAGAACACTGTGCAATTATTTGTACAATTATCGTGCCACGGTTTGTAATTTAATTTCGAGCGCGTGCAATCAACGTCTTTTAATTCTCCGACTATTCTCGGCCGGCCGCGTTAACGTAACTTCGGTTGAACATACATCGGTTGAACGCTCATTATGAAATTGATACTTTTATCTTCGGTATGTACTCAACTTATATCGTTAAATGCCCGCACACGCGTGCCACGCATGGTGGAAGTTGGCAAGCAGATATAAGTATCAAAGTAGAGCGTGTAATAATAATGCGCGCGTTTTTAAAAGCGACGGGCCAGTTTTAATTCCTCGTGCGGCTCTATTTGTGGAAACGGTGTACCTTCGAAAATTGCGTTTGCGATCCGCCCCCCGCGCATCAACGAGCATAGATTTTTTACTCGATTTGTATTCTTCCAAGGCAGGAAGAAGTAACAATTAATAAAAGATAATATTTGAACCGTTCGTTAACGAGCGTTCATCCGGATAGAGTTACGTACAGTGAGTCACGTACCCGTACAGATGACACTGATGTATTCATTTATTTAAATCGCTCCTGACAGGACTTAATTCATAATACAATCGAAGGAAGCGAAAAACTATATCAAGAGTGCGAAACGAAATGTTTTTTCATAAGATGCACCGTTTACCCCTTATTTCAATTTGTGTTTACGTTCGTAAATACTGGCTGCTCGCATAATTTGCTTCTTGCTAGCGTTATCCGATTCCTGATCTTGCTATTTCTGGTTTCTATAGAATTATTACGACGCCTGCGATGAGATCGAGCACTGTATGCGGGAGATGCATGAAAAAGTGTTACGATCGAAAGGAAACGATCGCGAAACTTTCGATGCGTTCTGGATTAAATATAGAAGACGAACTGATCGTCCGTAACGTAATTGTTACGAATTTGTGAAGTAATTAAATATTGTTTATCATCCCTCGTGGCCCATCTCAGGTTTATAAACGATCACCATAGACGAGAAGCTTTCAATTTCTCCCAATTATTTCTATTTCATAGTCCGTTTATTTTTTGGTCAAAGTCTCCCTATTATTTGGGGGTTAAATAAAATTCCCAGTTCTCATCCGTGTTCCCCAAGCGTGCACACATCGACTGTCGACATTCTCCGGGGCGAGGATGAGCGAGTGAAAGACCGAGAGGACGATGATTCCCATCGAAAGCGACGCGTCACGGTCTTCGTCGGTCATTACGAAGGCTGCAATTTGCTCGAAATCGCGGATAGCAATCGGCCGTTAAACAAGTATTTTCGACGCGGGTCCCGTTATTTGGCCAACGGGGCGGGGGATCGAGTCCAGAATTGAATTTAATCCAAAAAATGGACGAACGTCGCGTAAGCGCGCGTCGTCTTATAGTTGGCTGAATTTTGAACGAAATTTTGGCTTCGACGCCCGGCTCGGTGTGGGCAGCGGACTGACACGATTCCGTCCGCTCGTTCGCCGTTGCCAAGTTCACCGGTTTACTTTCAATGATTACACGTTGCCACGGATCGCATTTTGTCGCGATTCGTTAATTTTTCGCCGACAATTCCGCCCACGCGCCCCTTACTTCGTATTAACAGTCGACAAAGATTCCTCTTTAATAATAAAAGTCGAACGTCAAGCATTCCATTTAATTTTAGTCAAATTATTGATTACGATTTTTCACGGAAAAACAATTTCGGTAAGGTTGGTTTCCCCGCAAGCACCTTGGGATCGTTGCAATTAATCTCGCGTGGAAATAGGCTCGCGATATGCAACGCGACGATCGCAATTAACCACGTGCATATAATCTTTACTCTGTATTCTTCGACTTTGTACATTGTGTGGCTCGGCGGGGAACAGAAAAACCTCTACCGTCCTCCCGATACAAAGAATCGATTCATTGACGGACCTGATTACATAGAGCAATTATTATTACGTGACCGCGCGATACCGTTGAATGTAGACTAATCCTTCGTACGATTAACTTACACGCGCGCGTACGCGTCGTGACTGGCCACAGCCTCGCGATAAGTACGACTGGTTTTACTTTTTTTTTTTTTTGTCAGAGTTTTTCGCTCGTACGCGAATAAAGCGAACACAAAACCTGCAACACGACGCTGGAACGTGGCGGCTCGTGTAATTTTCAAACGAGCCGGAATTCATAAATGTTAATGCTCTTCTGGCGCATCGCGCAGTTTATCAAACTTTTTCAATCGTGGAACAATTTTCGCGTTGCAGCGTATTCGAGCTGCTTGTCACTACCGAGCAATCGAGTAACTCGTAAAAGAAAAATTTGATCGATCGAATACAGTCGTCGAGTTTTTTCGAGATTTCTGCGTGAAATCACGTGCTCGATTCCCCCGTGTTTGGAGAACGAAAAATGCGGAGAAATCAGAAACAGTGGCTCTGGCGCGTTTCTTTGTCCCTGGGCCGAGAAGTCGGATATTTTCAGGCTCTCTGTGGAGCCCTTGTTTTTTTTGCCACGACCCTCTCCCGGCTTCCGACTTCCTTTTCGCTCGCCTCTGTTTCGTACTTCGGACGGACGTTCGGTAACGAAGACTCGGTTAGAGACGCGGAATCTGCGGATCTCGTCGTTCCTCGAACAATGGACGCTTTTATGGGCCACTCGCGGGGGCCAAATTTAAGTCGGACCGCGGCTGTTATTCACGAGGCCATTGATGCAACCGCAGGAGTCGTTTCGACCGAAGATTACCGATACGGAAACGGTCGATTCTCTATCTATATCTATACAGATGGAAATCTAGCGAAAATTATGCTAGAAAATGGATTTCCGTAACCCTTTGTCAAGAGCCCGTTCGTCATGTCCCATTCGACATTTTTTCAAGTCCAAACCAAAGAGATATCGTACACGTGAAAATTACAAAATACAACAACAGTGTAAATAAAACACTTAAAAGCGTTGAGAGCTGCTGGTAACAAAATTGAAATATAATTCGGAGTGGAAAGGGTTAAGCCGAGCTTTCGATGGAAAATAACACAATGTAATATAAACTACTCCTGACCCGAATTCACAATCAACCGTAATTATTTTTATTTGCCGCTCGTATCGTGCACACGCGTTGACAAATAATAAGAAAGAACGATTAACTTCGCGTATCGCCGGTTGCGTTATTCTTTTCAGCCGTAAACAAATCGTTTTGCTCGATTGTAATTATTTGGAGCATGATTTTGTTCTCCGGAGACGTTTTTTGTGGGTAAGACAGGCTCGTCAAAGGGATTTCAAAATGCCGCCAACGAGAGGTTTTCCGAGTCCCGATCGGTTCGTTGAGCGATAACCAATCCCAACGATATAAAGAGAAACGAGATCCGTTTTTTTTAATCTATATTTACCGGTTATGTAAAATATTGGGCACGCGATAGTGCTGTAAAGACAACGGCAGATTAAAATACGATGATTGCAACACTGTAACGAATCTACAATTCCAATTACGGCTGGAGCACAATATCAACTAATTAAGAAGAGATACGTTGCGTAACCGATGACGAGTGGCATACGTGATGCTGTTCTCGATTTCGCCGCGACTCGCGGAATGGAGAATCTGGGAAACAGGAAGGAATACTCGCCAGCGAAGGAACTCTCATTTCCCCCCACCGATTAGGTGTTTCCTGGCACTGTTTAATTAGTATCGCCCACTGGGCTGGCCCGAATCAAAGAAAGGAACACTGGCAAACAGCTAACGCGATCTATCCTTTTGCTCTTTTGGAGCTACGTTCACAATAAGACACAAATATTGTAGGTTGAACTTTGCAACTCATGCGAACATTTATCCTTGATATTGTAGCCAATGAAAAACTATGCTAACCGTCAGTGAACAAAAAATCTCACAACAAGAAACGTAGTCTCAGAATTTCAAAGGTTAGTGCCATTACAATTACAAAGTAGAAGATATAAAACAACGGATTCTCAGGTGACATGTATTGTGATCGGAGCTGGAATAATGAAGTAAACCAATCAAAGGATTTTCCATCAGCATATAATTCCGTAAAAATTATACCGACTGCAAAACTAGATCATCTAACTATGCGCATATTTGGAGCACTAAACTATGCATCTCTCGAGCGAATATCTCCTCAAGGTCTAAAGACGATTAAATCTTCGTAGCAATAAATATTTTATCCCCGTTTCTAAACACTATGCATCCCTGTCCCTGCAGTGTACCTTTTATAGTTTTAGAAAAGCTTTCAGATGAATCAGGAAGGCGGTATTTGTTGTGTATTCAGCGGACTCTTGAGTCAAAACCAACCTGACCTGTATGTGGGTCAGCGGACAATGAATCGAGGTTAGGTTTCGACAAAAGCATTTCAGCCGCAGCTCTCCTCTCAGAAATCTGCGTAGCCTTATGTTCTATTCAGCTTTATATCCTGTATTTGTATTCTCATAATTAAATTGTCGCAAAGCTATTTCCATTATGTTCTTTCACTCGATTTTACCTTACTTTCCCCATATATGTACAGCTTACGACAATTCGAGAGGGTCTATAGTAATTTCTGCAGGTCATTCTGGCAATTCGGATAAATATAATACGTTTAAATCCTGTAGGGAGATCGTGAACGCAAATTGAAAAGGAAACATCGAGGGAAAGAACTTTCGCCCCCTATCGACCGAAGGACTATGGCAAAGACCGAAAGAATGATTCTTCGAAAAGAAAAAGGAAATAGAAAAAATTGTCGATGAGCCAGGGTTAAAGAGGGTTGCCGACCACCGATTTAACGTCACCTGAACTAACCAGTGCGCGTTGTGTCCTGTGGGGGTGGACGACGGCGGCGGGGTAGTCCGCCTGTTGTTGCTGGTATCGTCCTGCAGCGACAACGACTCGCTGTTCATCTTGCAGGTTAACCTCTTCAGCACGTCGTCCATGGATCTCTTGCCGCCCGGCGTGGCGCTGCTGCCGCCGTTGTTGTTGTTGTTCTGCGTGACGGTGTTGTTGTTGTTGTTGTGATGAGGGTGAGCGGGGTAGTAGGGGTCGACGGTTAAGGGTGTGGGCGGCGAGCCGCACTCCGAGGAGCTCGCCGGTTCCACGACACCACCGGACGAAGACGATGTGTTCGTGTGGTGATGGTGATGATGATGGTGGTGATGGTGGTGGTGATGGGGGTAGTTGTAGGGCGTAAGCGTGTCCTGGCCGGCGACAACGATCCTCTGTCGCTTGCTGGTGCGCAGGGAGTTCGAGGATGGCGAGGGCGAGTCCCGGAGATCGGGCTCGCTGGTCGTCGCCGGTGACGAACACCCGGACGACTCGCAATCACCGCCCCTCGGATGAGGGTAGCACTCCTCGATCCCGACGGGGGTGGTGGGATCCTCTTCGCCGACGGCTGTCTCGCCACCGGGGCCACCGGTCACCGACGAGGTCGTGTCCTCCTCCTCCTCGTTGGCGCCTGCCACTGTACCCGTGCCGCCCCCGCCCTCCGATAGCTTCGTTGGTGGTGACTTCCTCTTTGAGGACATCCTCAATCTGAAAGCGAAACGGAAACGTCCAGGTGAGTTTGTTGCACGCTGTGATCTTCTGCGATTCGACCGAAGGAGAACGGACACGACCCACCGCTCGGGACACGTCGATGTCCCGAGGCTCTAAAATGCTTTGTCCCCGTTTTATTTAACCATAGGCGATACAAGGAGCACTTTGTTTCCTCGTGACGCGCGGTTACGTAACGGCTACAAAGTTGCTACCGTAATCGCTCCGGCAAGAATTATCTTCCGCGAGCTAGCCTCGTTACAATTCATAATGTATTGGTGCATGGTAGCAAATGTCACGGTTAACGACACGGCGACTTCGAGCGCGGAAAACTTTTACTTCTTTCGCCTGGATCTACCGAACAATCGCAGAGCGGAAGGGTCCAACAGGAGACATTGACATTTTTGCAGAATTCCTAACCAGGGACTTCGACATCGTTTAAAGCAAACAAGACAGTGTACCATAATTCCTAGCATCTTATCGAACGCGTCAAAGACCATCCCCCTACGGTGGTCGTTTGTAAACGCGTTTAAAGGGTGGTCCGGTTTCGGGAGAAGCTACGGAGAGTGACGATTCCTTACCAGATGACCCTCGACATCCGTCGAACGGTCCGTCTGAATCTCCATCTGTCGTTAATTTAGCACCTAACCCGGACCAGCCCAGCGGAGCCTGGTCCACTCATTTCCGTCTACAAATTACCAAATCTAAATCCAAATCGCAAACGGCGGCGCACGTCCCAAGGAGCGAATCGGATTACGTAATCGTACATGAGGCGCAATAATCGAGCGCGATTATTGAGCGTGGATTATTATTGTTGCGCGCGCGCGCGCGTGTCGTAACGCTCTTTCCATCAATCGGCGGAGATCGCGAGCAGGGGACGCGGGGATAAATCCGGGGAAAGAATATACGCGCCGGGCGCCATTATCTCGCGACTGGCCAAGCCGACCGAGGTTGCGGGGTCAGAAGTAGTGATGGGCATTCGAATCTGTGTCTCGAAAGAGATTCGAAACTTTGGAAACTCCCGAGTTTCGAATCGCTTCGCGTTTACTCGATGCCAAAATCACTTGACACCGTTGGGACAATTTCGTCAGTGAAGTTTCATCCTGATGGATCTTGAAGACTTCGTCGAGATTCAGGAATTTTTATAGAATTTAAACACCAATCGAGATTTCAAGATTCTAGACTGAAAGAGTTAAATGACAGATCGAAGGTTTTCTATTTTTTTACGTTCTTAATAGGATAATGTTGAAATTAACGTAGTTTATAGAGACTGTTTTTCGCCACGATGCGCATCTTTGCACACGTGATCGGCTCGCGTTTTTTTACAGAGACCCGAATTACGCGTGCATTCGTGCACACGCGTCACAGCGAACACGTGCTTGCTCGCCACGATATGCATGTGACGAGAAAATCGTAACGCGATAAACGATCTCCGCGATGACTCGGTAGACCAGTTGCCAGTAATTTAAAAATGCAATAATTAAAAGAATTTTACTGTAAGTATTTGTTTGGATTTCCAAACCCGAGTTTTATGGTAGAATCGCGTGATACCAGCTACTTTTATTTAGATTTCGACATGAAACTCTACGAAGGATTAACGATCGGTTGGCGTCTAAGTCTTTGTTATGTTTCTATTATTGTTAAATAAATTATATTTGCTAAATAAATCAACTGCGCGAACGCTTTGGGATTCATCAGCATTCATAGATCTAGAGTCATATTTCGGATTTCTGCGCTAATTGTCTGTTCGAATAATTTATACGCGAAAAATGCAAAAAAACTGGCATCTAAGCACCGAGGGAGTTTCCATTTCCAAGTCGCAATCGTTTGTTATGAAACATTAATAAAAAATAATTGCTGGGTAACATTTTTAAAAGTGGCCTACTTATATACGGAAGAGAGAGTTGTTGTTTAATGCACAACGGGTTTCGAATAAATAACTAGCACGCTTCTTTCGAACAGGGAAACTTGGAAAATATAGATATCGATGGAATTTGAATCAAATATGCTACTAAAAGGAAACCAATACAGATATTCAGAGATTTGAAAATCTAGATGAATAATTCTAAATACGTGGCTATTTGCCCATGGTAGGAATAAAAGGGTTTTTATATCGAATTGCTCTAATATCGACAACGTGTAATCGCTCGTGGGTATTTCCATGTGGAAGTAGATGTTATAAACATTGATACTAGCAGTCATCAATGACTAACGCAGCATGAATGAAAAGCTGACCGACATGGCGAACGCGCCCAGCTAGCTCGTATGGGACTGTATACATATAGTCGAAAGTCCATCGCGTCTTCGGCGACCCCGGAGACACGATAATGATAGAATCGTGCCGAATTTCTCCTCTGTCTCGGCCACATGGCGGAGAAGAAAGACAAAACGCTAGGCCATTCTCATCCGTCAGATCTGGATCTCTTAAACACCAATTGTTGCGTAAGCGAAGATGCTCGTAGTTCGAATGTCCTTCGTTTTAGCCTTTGGCTCCTCAGATAAGATATCCGCCAGAAGTCGTAGTACTACGTCAGAGGCAGCTTTAATTCGTGAAAAATCTCAATACCGGGCTAAGGACACCGAAATTTTGGAAGGTGAAGGATACAGTGGTTTGTTAGGGATCCAGGAAGCATCAGAGACTGAAAAAGTGGCGTCGGATTTTGATTTTTACGAAGCTCGGTTCCTGGGGACTCGTTTGGCGAGTCTGCACTCGAATGTTTAAGATTAACAATAGACGCATGCCCCCCATAGTACAAGTTTTCTAACGACTACATACATTTCTAACAATTTATGAAAACGTCTGGATAACAACACTCGGTGCTTTGAGATTGATGCTGAACGATATGTCTGGAAATTCGGGTGACATATATAGGTGGTTGAAATGTTGATTTTGGCAACGTTCACGATCGAGACGTGCCTTATTTAAAGCGTATAATGTCTCCATTGTCTCCTCTACAACTGATCTCCGAGCCTGCCCAAATTATTCAGAACTGCATCTACCCTGTTCGCCTTAATCTTAATTAGCATTTTGAAGACTGTCCTCTCGGGGGCCCGCGATACGAATTACATTACCGATCGTTCTTTAATATTTTCAAATTAAGGCCATGTATTCGAAGAATCCATCTAATAAACAGTTTCCTATCGTCGAGCAGATTGATCGAACAATTCGTATATAACTGAATTAGCTAAATTTAATTCCTTTGTATTTTAAAACCAGAATCTAAACGTTTCATTCGCTACAATTCTGCCAAAATCCGTCTCCCACGGTTTTAATTCCTGCTGAGATTTATACGCGTTCGAAATATCAAAATATCGTCGATTATGACACCGATATAATGTTTCTACGATAAACATTCCACAACGCGGGATATTTTGGTTGCAGCGAGAAATGCGGAGGAAAATCGAGCGAGTAACGACCGTCCAAGTCGCGGTACCACGCACGCGCACGCGCCAGAGATAAATTTCGCGCGGTTCTATCATTGTCGCGTTGTCGGCTCGTTTCTGCATTTCCATTGTCTAACCGTGACGGACGCCGCGCGTTCTAGATTTCCACGCAGCCCGTTTTCGTCGTCGCCGAGCGACAGCTCGAAACTCGTCGCTATCCTTATACGAGAAGTATTTCCGTCGCGAGAAAGAGAGAGAGAAACGACCACGACGACGACGACTCCGAGCGTCGGTGTCCGTGTGTTCACGGCGTGGCGTAATTACTTCGCGAAACGCAGATCTAAGACTAGACCGTCTAGGAGGCGGAACAAAAACAGAGGCAAGCCGGAAAAAATATATTTTTAACCGCCAGATGCCGTCAAGGACCGGGTGACTGAAATCACACCGGAAAACGATGAAAAAGCACGCGAGCCGCGCCACCGACAATGGACGAATTTGTTTCTCCGGACGGACCCTGACCGGTCGTTCTCGTCGCGATAAAACCGACGACTAAATAAATTCATCTTCCTCCCTTCGCGCTAAACGGATCGATCCTTGCCACGTGTCCATATCTCAACCCTTAACAGGATGGTTGTCTCTATCGGTGTACAAATGTACACTTTTCAACCCTCCCTTTAACACAAATCATTCTATCTTGATTGTTTTGAAGATGATCGTAAACGTAATAACAAATCACTTGTTATGACTAATTCCAATGTCGTTGAGATTATAACTGGAAACTTAGTTCCTGGTAACAGTTTTTACCGTTTCGGTATATTGAATCTTCCTCCGATCGGGAACGAAGGCGTCCAGCTAATTGTCACGCGGATCGAGAAATTCGGCGAACACGGAGTCGAGCTGCGATCGTAGAAATTAGCGAGACACGGTTCGAAGTTCAGAGCGTGCACGGCTGTTCGACAGTGCGTCTGATAACGGGCCGACATCGATAAACCATGGGCTCATCCATTGCGAAGATAAATCACCGGATCTCCCCCTTTCTGCTCCACGAGTGCTCCCTCTCTTGCTGCCATGCAATCTCCATTCATTCAGATACCGATTCATTAACATCGCGAAATGAGCAATTATACGAGTAATTTTTTTTCTCTCCGAGCCTCACGGCCCACCCCCGCTCCCTCTTCTCGTCCTTTTACCCTGGCTTGGCCATCTTGATTCGATTCTTCCAATGAAAATGTCGCGTTTTATTTCGTTTTGCTCTGTTTCCGTCGTCGATAGAAAGAACCCGTGCACGACTGCCGGCGGAAACGAATTTTCTCTTTTCTCTTCCTCCAAAGTTTCCTCTTCTTTTTTTTATCCGAAATCAACCTCTCGCAGCGACGCTTCGAACCCTCGGAAATGGTTCGAGCGCGATGCACTGGCCGAATGCAAGGTCATTTTGACCAATCGAAGGAACGTATTAAATTTAACCGGAGATTTCTCGAGTTTCGGTAATAAGGAAATGGTCACGGTCGAGTCAAAATAGCTTCGAACCCCTCTGTTCTTATCTCTCGTTTGCTTTTTTTCATACCTGACGTCGTAAATCCTAGGCTTCGTGTTATTATAACCGATAATCGAAAGAA